ATGCCAACAAAAGAACAAAATCAGAGCAGCGTGGCTCCCAGCTGGCTCCCACTGAGCTGTCTCTCCCCTCCCTGCCCACCCCCACCCCATGGTGGCACCAGCGCACCCCCTGTGAATGCAATGCCAACTGAGGAAGAGGTGGTTGAGCACAGCCAGCCCCTGCACCAGTCTGTGGTGAGCAGAATGCAGCTGCCCTGCAGACCAGCAGGAAATCTCCCGCAGACCAGCACCGGTCCACAGACTGGTGGTTGAAAACCAGTGAGTTAAGCAACCAAACTTTTCAAGTATAAATTTCATTGAGCTCTAATAGTTAAAATATAGATAGTATATAGGTCTTCAGAAGACAAATGACAATTTAATTTTACAAATGAAAGCTAGGATTTTTTGGTATTTCAATATAATTTAAGAGTAAAGTAACACAATAGCTCAGGTGGTGTTGGAAAAGTTATAGAGCGAACGATTATTCAACATGAACTCCCAAATGTCTCCAATTCCCTTCCTTCCAGAACTCCCATGATCAGTTCATTAACCACACATCCCTCGTCATCTGACAAGCCTGTCACATAAAATTCCTCTATTTCTCCAGCTGTCCTTCCCCCGTCCAAGTAACCTTGCCATAAGCATTTGTTGTTGGCTTTCATCTATGTGGTAACAATTTGCCATACAACTCTTAACAGTTATAAAGGGGCAGCTGTTCAGCTCCAGGCAAGCATTACACTACCTTTTACTTATCGGCCCATAAAATGCCTCCTGTTTACAACTGCCCTCCCGACATCAACTTTACAAAGCGACTCCCTAATGAGACCATCTTGAGCACGAAACCTTTCCCAGAGTTCAATAAGCTATGTGTATGTCTAAGGTCCTGTAATAAGTGTCCCTTCCAATAGTACTTTTTAGATTATGTAGATAACCACTCCCATTGCCTATGATGCACAAAACCAGGATTCACAAAGTAGCTTATCACAGCCAGCCAGGCCACGTGCCCCCCACCGCTGCCCCATACCCCTTTAAACAGTGTGACAAGCACTCCACAATTTCCATAGTTTGGAGCAGGGATAATCTCTCATTTGGACTCCAGTTCTCAGAGTGACATCACAGAATCAAAGAATATTAGAGAAGAAATGTGCCAAGATAGCCATTGAGTCCAATTCCCTACTCAGTGCAGGACTGCGAGTTAAAGCATCCCTGAAAGACAGCTATCCAACTGCCTCCTGAATACCTCCAGTGCAGGAAAGCCCACAATCTCTGTAGGTAATTGGTTCCATTGCTGTACTGCTCTAACGGTCAGGAAGTTTTTCCTGATATCCAACCAGAATCTGGCTTCCCGCAACTTGAGCTTATTGCTCCATGTCCAGCACTCTGGGATGATCCAAGAAGAAACTCTGGTCCTGTTCTGTTTTTCAAGTATTTGAAAAGGTCATCAAATTTCCCCTAGTCTTCTCTTTTCAAGGCTAAACACGCCCGGCTCTTTTGATCTCTTATACGGCTTTGTTTTCATAGGACTTTGCTTCCAGTCCATGGATCATTGTTGTTGCCTTCCTCTGACACCATTCCAGTTTGTCTGCATCTGTCTTGAAGTGTGGTGCCTGTAACAGAACTTGAGATGGAACCTAACTACTGCCAAAAAGAGGGAAACCAGAACCTCATGTGAATTGGAAGCTATACTTATATTACTGCAGCCCAATATAGCATTAACTTTTTGTAGCCACATCGTATTGTTGACTCATACTCAACTTGTGCTCTATGACAATTCCAAAATTCTTCTTGCTTGCAGTATAGTAGAGCCAAGTATCCTCCATCTTGTAATACTGTATTTGTTTCCTGTTTCCTAGCTGGAGAACTGGGCATTTGTCCCTGCTAAATCTCATTCTGTTGCTTCCAACCCAGTGCTCCAACCTATCATGGTCACTTTGAACTTTGTTTGTCTTCCATTGTATTAGCTACCCCACCCATTTCTGTGCCAGCTGCATTCCCTGCAGCTCTTTAGTTTTCCAGTTAGCATTGGAATTTACCTCAGCTATTGTTTCAGACTGAGCTAGTTTTAAATCTGAAATGTAAAACTGTATCCTTAACATGCATATCAATTTTTATTCTGTTATCCTTACAGTGCTCCCTTTCTTTTGGGCTTCTTTTGACTAGCCACAGCTCACATGCATAAACAGAAGTAACATAATACTGATCCTTTCATATTTTGTCTGCATAATTTCCTTTGAATGCATTCATTTTTATCTAGGTTACTAATATAATTCACTAGTCTCTCTCTACACACCACCAAGACACGGGTTTTACATTAGCAGTACCTCCAATTTGCTTTGTGTATTTAGCTCACCCACATTATAAAACACTGACTCCTTCATGAGTACAGGAAACTGGGGGCTTGCTTATAAAGTGTTTTCCAAAGTCTCACATGTGGGTTGTACAGATACTAGCTTCAGGAATATTCTACAGCTCTTCTCAGGAAAGTGGTGCCCATATTCCTCTCCTCTCAAACATTTTTTCCACTGAAAGCAAGCCTTGAGAGGTGGGGAAGCGAGGTAAGTAAGTAATGGCTTGCTGTAAGGTTTCCATGGTTCACCATGGCTCCTTTCCCTATCTGAACTCAGAAACAGTGTTCTGCAGTCATACTTGCAGAGATCTAACCAGGTAAAAAGCCTGGTTACTTTCTTAATGGTGTATTAGATTAAAACTGTGGATTTATGGATTTGGGTTACTTGAATGCCATCTCAAGAGGAGCTGATGTCTTGAAACATGCTCCAAAATATGTTTAAAGACTGGGAACACTTGTCTGAATTTGTTCAATGCACACCCTCAAATCTCCTCTTGATGACCCTGGCCTGAAACACTCAGATACACTCAGAAACACTCAGATACACTGAGATACACTCAGATCCTAAGCGGGGTGAGGAAGTCCCATTCTCAACTTTCTGCTCAAGTGAAACCAGGTGGAGCAGGAATGCAAAGTGGCACTGCTCAAAGGTTTTTTTGTGCTCCTTTCAAAAGCATCACCATGAGCAGTGTGCACTTATCTCCACCCAGCCTTCCTTTCAAAAAGGATGCCCAACAACAAGAAGTGGTGCAGCACAGCACGTATTTTCCCCCCTTAACAGTTCCCTTGGGAAAGGAAACTGTGAGCTGGAGGGTGATTACAGAGGCTTGTCGATTCACCCTACAAATACAGAGCCAGAGAATGCAGATATGCTTCCACCATACCTTGCTGGCTCGGGTACTGCCTTTCATCTTTGACCTTGGACAGCTTTTAAATTATAAAGCATAACTTCAGAGACAATACCTTCTTCCCTGAAGTGAAGGCAAGGCTATGACCTTCCTAGTGACAAAGAAGAGAGAAATAATGAGGTGGCACAAATAAGGACTTGTCCACTGCCAGCAACAGTCCCTGGCTGACTTTTCCCATGGGCCAACAGCTGTTCATAGGAGGAAACTCTATCCATCCCTGCTTACTGGATATAGGGAAAACAAGTGGTGGAGTCCAAGGCAATGAAAGTAAATTCCTCAAAGAACTACTGGGCTGCAGTGGAGTAATATGCATTGTTCTGGGAATTGTTGGCATAAAGATCACTAGACTCTGAACAGACCTTGAATACCAACAGTCCTTTGCACTCTGAGAGTCTTTTTAGCCTTTAAGACGGTGGGCCTAGCTTAAATAGATGGAGTAATAGACGGCCGATACTAGCTGACTTACCAGTTGCTGTTATTGAGGTGGTAGAAAATAACTGAGAAACTTCTCCCGCCCATCAACAGTTTTGCAGAGGGAGGAATATTTCTCCACATGCAGTGAAGAATATGAGTACAAGATCCCTGTCTACAGGTCGAAAACAGTGCTGAAGCTTGAATTGTACAAGCACAGAACCCACATATAAACCTACACAAAGAACATAAAGGATTGCTAGCTGCACACTGACAGAAGAAATTAGTATAACACCAAGAGGAGTGTTTATGAGATGCAATGGAGTATACCCTCAGGAGCCACATGGGCAAAATTACAGCCAATCATGTGCTAATCCCCTTCAGCTTGATTCCTAAGAGGATGCAGCAGGGCTATTTACCAAAACTAGCACATAAATAAAATTCAGAATCAATAAATAGCCACATGTTCCCTTTAAATTTGTATTCCAGTTTAGACCTTATAATGCTTCTTATGACATCACTGATAGCATGATTAGATCCCTTTTCCTTTAGCCACCTCTTGTTGAGTACCAAGAACAGACATGCATGCCCAGAAGCAGCAACCTAAACCAAAGCAGCCGTTTTGAAAACATGACTTCCCAAGCCAGGAACAAATCAGTTACACCACAAGTATTTGATAAATGTGAAAGCCTTTAGATATACAGTAGGGATGGATAACACCAGACACTTCCAGGGCCAATTCCAAACCTCCCTGCAAAACCACTGCAGGCTGTAAACCCACTTTTGATAGTTCAGATGTGCACATATGAGAAGTATTTTTTCAATGGGCTAATTGAAAAAAAATCTAATGTGCGCATTTAAAAGGAGGCAATAACAACATGCGCAGATGAAAGAATTTACATATGACATCCACTTAATTCTGGTATAGCAACTCAGGAAAGAATTTACTATCTTCAGAGACTGAAAGTTTTGTCCATGAAGTAGATTCAAAGCAATAATCCAACTAACACTTTTAACTGAAGTCCAAACTACAGTATTGTTGGCAGTGCAGCATGATACAATTGTGTGATGCAACATGGAGCAAGAGTTTGGTGTCAAAAATGGGTGATGGCATGTCATGTGCCACTACGGATGGATTCACAGTTTGGGACTGCTAGGATGTACCCTTCAGGATGTAGCCTGTAATTTTTCGCCAAGATCTTCTTCCTCACATAATTTTTGCAGCAGGTCAGAAGTTTCTCAAAAAGACCACTGGGTTGTTGTAATGCCAGGCTAAGGGCTTTTAAACAATTATCAAAGTTGAAGATTCCCACATCATCCTAATTGTCACCCCTCCATAACATTTTTATTCTTACCCAGGTTTCCTTGTTCAATGGTTAAGACCACTTCATCCATCACCAAGGCCCGGAAGTCCAGGTCTTCTTCACAACACTTGGCTTTGAGTGCCCTCAAGATTTCTTGCTGAGGGTAGTCTTCCCTGATACGACGATCTGTTAAAAACCAGAGCTTGGGAGCAACGGAGCTACACATCTTTAATCCCACGGACTTTGAAAGGAATGTCTAGAAAATTAAAGAAAGAAACTTAGTTGATGTGTGTGTGTGCATGCACAGAGTCTCAAAATAGAACTAGCATACCTCCTTCACTGAATATTTGTATACATGTGATGTTTCAATTCTCTTATTTTAATCAATTTGAAGTGATTCAAAGTCAGGTTATGTGCTAAGTTCAATGGTTAGACTGAAGATGGGAGAAACTTGTTTTTTACAAGAAAGTAATTCAGCACTAGTTAGCAGACTGAAGCAAGAACATCAATACTTTCAAGAAGGGCAATATACCTTAGATGAGAGAGGAGAAAGAGGAGAGATGGCATTACAGTGTGGGCCAGTTTGCACAATCAAAATAAGCCAGAGAGGCTAATTTAAATTGATTCATGAGTAGGAAATGATGTCCATAATTATTACGTTTGTGTCATGTGAACGTGAGCGGAATAGCTTATTGGAGGAGGAAAAAGCATTCCAGTAACCCATAGGCTATTGTAGGGTTATTTCCTCCTCCAACATGCCACGCTGTGTGAATTTATATGACATGGCAAACCATGCAGATTCTTTTGGTTGTGTGTTCCAGGTCTGTATATGCGCAGGTATGTCACATGCACAGGAGGAGGAGGAAGGGGAGCTTGCTGCCTGAATGTGTGCACATGTCTGAAAATTCCTGCATAACTATCTTGTAACATCAAGGACAAAGAAAGTTATGGTCAAGGCTTCCAGATTCTTTTCGGCTCACACATGCACAAAGCATTCCCTCACCTGATCTGCCACTGTTCCACCAAACTCAATGTGAATGTCAACTATCAGCATTTTCCCTGTAGATGATCCAACAGTAGGCCTCTCTTTCAGTTCATCCATTTACATTGTTAAATATGCCTATTTAACTATATAGAATGACTTCACTTAAACTCTATTTCGGCTTAGTCCCTGCATGCTTTCCTCTGAATCTGCCTGGATTGCTGTTTGTCTGTAACAGCAAAACTGGACTATTCCAGGAATATTTTAAACCACAATCTCAGCTTTAGTCCATCCTCTGAGGCCAAAGCAAGTATCTGAAGGGTCAGAACCCCCACCTGACCTTGCCAGCATAGACAATGGAGAGGACCGAGAAGAGCTGTACACCAAAATACAAACTGTCCATCTCTTCAGTGTAGTACTAAAGAACTGGACTGGTTCTCATGATCAACAATAATCTTCTACAATGTGTGCAGGGAGTAATTTCTATCAATGTCCACGCATCACATGTGGTATCATCCAAATTCAGGTGGCATGGTGTGTTTCAGGGGGAAACAACACTCCAATAAGCCATGCTGCCTAGTTTCAGATGGCACAAACTGCACCCAGGCAGTGACTGGACCCACATGCACTATCATTACATAAGCCATGGTGTCTTGTTTGGATCACGAGAATCAAGTCATTATATCCAATAAACCTGCTACATGAATAGACAAACCAACACAATAGAAACAGGATTAATATAGAGTGAATCATGAAATTTCCTTCTCTTACAAAGATGACTGAAGGAAGATAATACAGATATAATTTACTTTCAAATCCTTAAAGTGCAGCAGAAGTGCAAACTATGCATATTTTTGGCATACCACCAAACCTACTAGAAGAATTTTTTAAAAAAGACAAAAACCAATGGCAGTCTACCTCTCTCAAGCCTAGCTACTAAAGGAGGATAAAATCACTCACAAAGTCTCTTACAGTTTGTTTCTGGCTAGAAACGAGTATCAATGTAGCTGTTCACATGTAAAACTAGCAAATCATGGGCTATTTCATGAATTGTCAGCCATGTATGCAAGCTGCTTTCAGGCTGCAGAACAACTTAAAAACACCACTGTTCATAGATTGTCAGTATTCAAATTCCCATGTTTTGGGTTATTTGTGAATTAAACTGTTACACAGAAGAGGACCAGGACCTCTTCCGAATCACCCCAGAGTGCAGGACATGGACTAACTGGCTCATGTTATAGGAAGTCTGATTCTGGCTGGGTATCAGGAAAAATTACCTGACTGTTAGAGCAGTATGGCAATAGAACCAATTACCTAGGGAGATGGTGGGCTTGCCCACATCAGAGGCATTCAAGCCAGTTGGACAGCCATCTATCAAGGATGCTTTAACCTGGAGTCCTACACTGAGCAGCAGGTTGGACTCAATGGCCTTCCTGGTCCCTTCCAACTGTATTCTTCTATAATTCTCTGATACTATGAAGCTACTTTCAAATGCAGGTAAGACCTGTATCTTATTGTATATGTGTACAATAAGAGTGCCTAAGAGTGCAATCCTATGCATGACCACTCAAAATTAAGTTCTATTGAGCGGAATGAAACTTACAGGTAAACAAGTATAGAATAGTAGCCCTAAAAGTTAATACACATATAGACTTAATCTAATGCGAATCACATTGCTAAGGCAATCTACTCAAGAACACACAAAAATTACTATTGTACAGTAATCCAGTTGTCTAAACAGCAATTCCCTCTCCACTTTTCAGCACATCTTAAAGGTAAAGCAGAAATTCAAATTTACATTAGCTGTTGATAGTTCTGAATTTAAAAGTTCTAGTTACTCTGGATTAAGAAGATGAGGGTGTGTATAGGTGTGCATATTTTTATTCAGTGTATAGAGTTGAAATATGTGCAGAAAAAGTCGAATGTAATTAAAATATAAAAGTCATTCCTTACTGCAAACACACACTTCAAGAGAGCAACGATGGGCACAATCCTATGCATGTTTAGAAAGAAAAGTCTTACAATTCCCAGCATTCTCCAGCCTGGCTTCTTCCAATGTGCACCCTAAGTTTCTAGAGTAAGAGAGCCAGCATGGTACAGTGGTTAAGAATATGAGACTGAGACTCAAAATTTGGTTCTTGATCCCCACTCAGCCATGGAGCTCACTGGGTGACTTTGGGTCAGTCACATACTCTCAGCCCAACCTACCTCACAGGGTTGTTGAGAGAATAACATTGAGAATTATGGAAACTGATCTGAGTCCTTTGAAAGGAAAAAAAAATCAGACTATGAATTTAATGCAATGCAATGCAATGCAAATGCATAAATAAATAAATAAATAAATAGGTTTCAAGTCCGATCCTAGAGGTTGCACCCTGGTTGATGGGAGGTCTCTGCACTTTGAGGCTTCTTACCAGCCAAAGCTTTCCAGAGCTGATGTCAGCTGGTGAGATGAGTAGTGGAGGCAATTTCACTTCCACATCCTCCATCAAGGCAACTGGAGAGGCCTCAGGGCATCTCCAGTTTCCTCTCTTCCACTCTCTTCATCCACTGGAACAGTCCCTTTCCCCCCTCCTCCAAGATTGGTTTTCTGACCTCTGAGGGCAGCCAGCATAGTTTCTGCATCAACTGCAAGTGGGCTAGTAAGGCAGCTCAGATCTCTGACTCCTCCTTCCATGGTCAGATTGCTGTTTTCAACCTCAGAAAGGGAATTCTGAGCTATCCTATGGTTGCACCTAAATGCCTGAACAGCAGGTCTTATTGCTACCACAGGCCAAGGGAACCCTTCTGGGATTTTATTGTATTGTTCTATGAAGGTTTCTTGCATCCAGTCCATGTAAGAACAAACTGGCCATTTTAAGAGAAGCTAGAAGCCTGGCTTTTGTTTGTTTGTTAGGTTTTTTGGTAATTTCAAACCTATGTAAACTGTCTGCTTTAATGAAACACAGTAAAGTACAGTGATCAGGCCTCTGTGGCTCATTATTTTCCTGTTTGTTTGTTTTTTTTAACAAGAGCAGGAACTATTTCTTCAATCACCTAAACTGATTTGTTTGTTGTGTGGGGTTTTTCAGGAAGCAACATAAATGAACAGATTTCACATTGAACTCTCTTGCTTTAATTTATCAGTCGTTTAGTGATTTAACTGCCCGAGCATGTAACAGCAAGCTGTATTTTTTTATCTGAAACACAAAATACCACTGTATTTGCAGACAACTTAAAAGCCCTTCTACCACCTGGTATGAGATCTACAGCATGTGATTTGTAGTTGTAGTTCCTTCACTGTGTTTTAAAAAAAATCTGCAAAGAGAGTAACATTAGAAGAAATTCCTCCATTATTTCTTTGCCTAATACTTAGGATAGCTCTCAGTCTAGAATTCACAACTGTCCACCTAACCATTATACTGAGGGGAAAAAATTTTAAAGGAAATGTCCATTATATATTGATTCATTTCCTTTATACTGTGAGGAAAGGGGGAACAAAGAAATGGGCTGAGTTATCTGTTAGGAAACCATCATTCAGAGTAAAAAAGGGAAGAGACATTTTAATCTAACCATCTAACATTACACTACTCCGCAACTTAATGTGGTTGCTGTACCACTGCATTTTATAAGGTAAGAAAAAGTATTTTATCACCAAATGGCAGCCTGAATTACTTGATACTGTTAACTGTAGGCCACTAGCAAAAGAGTAATCATTTTAACAACCAGGGTGGGAATAATTCAAAGGATCTCTGTGTATAGACACTCAGTGTACTCACAATGGGGTCTCTGTGGGTGGAAACCCAACCAAATGTCAGGATCTGTACTCTCAAGGGCAGGGTTTTTTTTTTTTTTTAAATTTCGCCCACTGGAATGAATAAGGAACATACAAGGCTGCCTTATACCAGTTCATCCTCCCCTATAAGGTTAATTCTGACTGGCAGCAGTTTTCCACAGTCCCCAGACAGCATTCCTATTACCTGCTACCTTATCTATATTATGACTGGAGATGCTGGAGAATGAATTTGGCAACAATCTGTATGAAAAACATGTGTTCTTTCACAGAATTATAGTCCTTCTACATGTAAAGAAAGGTGCTCATGGAGTAACCTGCCCTGGTTGACCCCTTAGTATTTACTTGACTGGAACCCAAACTGCAATTTAACACAAAGCATTTATTCCATAAAATTCAATATGAGAATTGAGCAAATCCTTATACACATAGCCCCACCCTTTAAATCTGCATCTTGCAACTCCCTGATCAAGGATTGTGTTTCTAGGTATGAAGCCAGAGCATAACACAACCCTGTAGGCATAGCTTTAATAAAAAACAAAAACTGCTAATTTTGCAAGAAAAATTGCCTATACTAGGATGCTTGCTTTCTTCTAGTGAGAGGTATTCTTCAAGACAGAGGATTCAGGAGTTTTAAAATCAAACAGCTTCCAAGCATTTCATTTAGAATCCCATGAGAAACAGCCTTATCCAAAAACTATCAGCCATGGAAAAAGGTAAATTAGTCAGGTGCAATCATTCATATAAGATTTAGAATAGAAGTCATTGTCTGATTCAGACAACCACCATACAGATCAGGGAGAGAAGAGGAAACAAAAAGGTCAGTATTGGAATCATGACTTTCAAATGTACTCTATTTTAGACAAAATGGCTCAGTTATGAACATAAAAGTAATTTAGCTAAAAGGTAACTTCAAATTGGTATAGAACTAGAATGGACTTGAATAAGAATTTACAAACAATGAGTTGGTTCAGATGTAATAGAAAAACATGGCTTTGCATTATATGTATCAGCCTAGCTGAATGCTCAGGCTACATTCCCATTCCCTTCGCAGCGATTGCTTGCCTGCATTCCTAGTTTGACGCAAAGCATGGTTTACCTTTTCATTCCAACCAGCAAACAATGGTTTGTTTGCCCTGCAAATCAGGAGAATAATCAAGAAATCATGTGCCTAAGGGTCCAGCCTAGCTTGTCCACATAATGTCAAACACTACGTATCAACCACCCCAGTAAGATTAATGCAATATCCGCAACTCAAATGTTCCTACAGTCTATAAATCACGCTTTGGTTGAACATTTGTTCCCTTGCTCTATGTAAGCTGTTTTTATTCTAACATGAAATTAATTTTAAAATGAGCATTAATGCAGTGAAGGTAGCCAAAATCAAAAGTGATCAGACTTCAGGCTTGTGGATTCTATTTTGGCTTTTTATTAGAACTCCAAGATCCACCAACCTGTTTAAGACATACATTTTGAATTACAGAATTCTAGACCCCATAATTTATTTTGTGAACTAAAATTCAACAGAGCTTTGAGTTCTTCAACACCAAACTCCACTACTAGTTATTCCAAGCTTTGCGTTTCAGCAGTATAATTTTGGGGAGGGGATGCATCTAGATATTTTGTTGTAGTTTGTGGTAGACAGTTGGAAGTTGCACATCAGCAAATCCAGATCTATTTTCTGCTCATCCTTGTCTAAACCAACATCTGTTCATCCTCTCTCTACACCCCATTATAGAAATAACCACTGCAGCCAGGTGATCACCCTTCTTTGAAAATATCACTACTGTCAACACACCCCCTCCATTTCCCCTAGATATGCAAAGGATGCCACAGTCTGGAAAGAAAGGAGTATTTCAGCTGCTGTGTTTGGCCAACCTTTAATCATCATATAACTTCTTTCCTGTTGTGTTTTCTTATTCATATACAAAAATGCAACTGTTTTTAGAGCTGCTTGTGCAACCCTTTAAAAACATTAGCACAATTCCTCTAAGTCAAGTAAAGCATCTCTTTCCTTATTTCCTTATGTGACTATTAAAAAAAAATCCCCTGCACCCAGTAAGTCTACATTCTTTCTACTGAAATACCTAACTTACAGGTGGTAGTTATTTGAGCATCTACAATACGTACCAAATACATACAACACATCGCAAATGAAGCATGCATGGGATAAAAACCTGCTTATCAATGCCTTTTGCACACACAGTCATCCTACTTGCTTTTCCACACAATCAATAGGCATGCCCAGACTTTGGGTGGAGGGGAGGTGGAACAAAAGAGAATGAAGTGAACAATTAAGGGAATAACCATAGTACAACTTACCAGATGTGGAGAGTAGAAAAAGCAGCAAACCCAGTGTCTGTTACTTGAATATCTCTCCGTGTAAACTGGTATTTTGGGAACCTTCTCTCCCCCCCCCACCCTTTACCACCCCCTTTGAAGTAATCAAGTCCTCTCAGTGCCTTTGGCTCTTCAAGAGTTGTTTGGTCACAGAGCCTTCAAAAGAATTAAGTTTTCATGTGAATTGTATTCTTCTGCTCAGAAGTCTCAAGTAATTTGGTGAGGGGGTCTAATATTCTTGCTCCCTCCAAGAAAGAGGACAGAAAAAAAAGGGGGGGAAAGAATCTTAAGTTCTAAGCATTCAAACTATTAAGAAAAACTTCTTGGGTGTTTCTTCTGCCTCAGAACTGGACCTTAAGGCTGAAGTTGGCATCACCAATATCTAGGAAAAGACAGATAAGAATCCAGGTGAGTTTACTATATTCATGGCCCAACTGAGAAAATGCACACAGTAAGACATAGTAGAAACCAATCTAAGGCTGCAATTCTATGCCCACTTACCTGGGACTAAGCCCCACTAAAGTGGGAGTTACTTCTGAGTAGACATGTATGGGACTGCTCTGTATTTAAATTTCTGCGGGTGTAAGAGGCCTTCAAATGGGAAAAGCAATTGTCCTAAATACAATCCTACACTTCTTACACCATGGCTAATTAAACAAAATAAGTGCTTCAGTTTTTGTAAAAATATACATTCTATACTGCAATTTTAATGGAACTAGTATCACAAACTGAATCAGAGGGCAAAAAGAGAAATCAAATTAACAACACGCAAGCCTTAGCCAAGAAAAAGCATTGTTTCAAACATGCAGATTGCTTACGTTGCGGATTTAATTACAATAAAATTATGTTAAGACAATACCCTGCAAAGCTGTATTTTTCTATGTAACTGATAATTTAAAAATACCAAAAAGGCACATAACGTCCATTATCAAACGCGTTTACTGAACACACACGCAAAATTACTTAGAAATACTTCTCCCCCGGGAAGCACGTCACCACAACCGCTTGTGCATCTCTACTCGGACAAAGAATTCTAAAATAAAATATGCACGTGCATTCCGCGTCTTGAACACAGATGAGGAACAGACAAGACGATTTCAAGTCAGCATGACTGTTAAACGACTCACTAACCTGGGTGATCTTTCCGTCTGCTTCTCCTGAGCAGGACTTCAGATTTAGAAAGATGTGGAGGAGAATCCAACCCTCCCTCTCGATTAGAGAAGCGTGTTAATCAGAGATGCAGAAATATAACCGGGAGGGAGGGAGGCAGAAGTTACAACGAGGACCTCTTTGAAAGGTCTTCAGATTGTTCTTCGATTCCCAGATTTGGGACTATTTAACACACACACACACACACCCGTATCCTGTCCAGTTATTTCCCTGTGATCATTACAGAGAATTTGAAAGCCTCAGGGTAAGGCTTATACAGACACACACACAACCAGGCGATATCCGCCCCGCCCTCCTCGCGCGCTTCGACTCCGCCACAAGACCACGAGCAAAAGCCTGATGGGGGGAGGAGGGAAAGGCGATTTGCCCTTCTAGGAGGTACGAGTAAGTCAACGGGACGGCTAATGCATGCCTCCCTCCGACTGAGGAGAGTGAGGCAATGTCGAGGCTGTTCCTGAGACGGAGAGCCAGCCTCCGTCCCCCTCAGCACGCGTAGCACTAACAACACAGAAACTGCCACAGCCGATCTTGCCTGTCTCCCCGAATGGCCTGATAGGACAGACGAAAGGGAGGTAATAATCGGAAGACGCGGACGCCGCGCACACAGCGAAGGGAGGGGTGCGACTGGCTCGGCAGATGCCCCGCCGGCCCTATTTTGCGCGCACTCGTTGTCTAGCAACCCCCTCCGCTTCTTCCAACCAATCCAGCTCAAGAAGAAAGGCGCGCAGATCGTTCCCCTTCTCCCTCCGCGTGTGCACGCAGAGGCGGCTCCAATCGTTAAAGGGGGAGGGGGTGCGCGTATGTGAGGGGGAAAGCGAGGCGAGCTAACCAACCAGGCCTTCAACCTTCATTTTCTCTCTGCCTCGTCTTTTTGCTCACCCTGCTGGTCTTACCTCGACGCCAGATTCAGCTCCCTCTTCCCCGCAAGAATTACTGGCCACTCCCCTCCACTCAATTGGCTGCCCGCACGACACGTTTTGAAATCCCCCTATATGAATATTAGCACACTTTCTTAAATAAAAGTCTACACCCATTGGTGTGAACGTCCTTTTCACGTCAGAAAAGAAATGCTCGTCTTTTGTCTGGTCAGCAGCACAAGAGGGCTACTTATCCTGACTTCTGTGCGGAGATAGATGGGGCAAGGATTAGGGTTAGGGTTTTAGGAAGCCCGTTCTCGCAGCTTGTAAATTTCTTACCAGCCAGTCAAGCAGAGTTGTATACCGTTCCCCCAGATACTTCCAGACAAGATTTTTGCACCATCGCTCTGCTTCGTGCCATAAGGAATACTTTCAAATAAGGATTTTTATCTCACTGTTGCCATTCACAGAACTGGGGTGCGTCAGTCCAAACTTGTCTTCCGCTCGTAACCTCCTTGTATTTTGTAACATTGCGTCTAACTTTTCTTGGAAATAAGCAGCTAAAGAGGAAAAGCCTCACATAACTGCACAGTGCCTTCTAATCGGTAACACTAGGAGTTATTTACCCAGAAGCACCCCACCCCGAAGATAAAATCCCAGATGCTAAAATCAGCAATAAAAAACTAGGTTGCTTCATTCAATAAAAACAAAAATTAACGTTAAGGAATTGGCTGGTGGGATAGCCATCAAGTACAAATGTGTCATTGAATACTGATTCTTCTTGATCTCTAAGTAGCTTTTGTTACTGTGGACCATGGTGTTCTCCTGGATTGGCTCTGCAATGTGTGTATCACAGGAATGGGGACATTGGGATGTGATGTCGCTCCTACCTGTAGGGTTGGTATCAAGACAGCATGAAGAGGTGGGGTTCTGCTTGATCTATGGCACTTCTGTTGCTGGTGTCCAGTTCATCTCCATGCTTTTAAACATCAATATGAAACTGCAGAGTGAAGTCATGAGAGCATTTGCAACAAAATGTCATCAGTGATTAAAAATGCCCCTTACTGATTAACCAACTGTAAAGCTTTAGTTGGATTGATCTATCTCATCAAACTACCTTGTATTTATTTTGAAATGGGGCTGGGGGAATTAAAGCCTTCAATCCACAATAAATCTTCCCTCATCCATGACTTGATTGTGGATGAGGGGGCCGACCTGGCTTGCATAACAGAGAACTGGGCAGGAGAGGGGGGGGATGTCGCCCTCTCTCAAATGTGCCCGCCCGGGTATCTGGTTCAGCACCGTCCACGCCTTGAGGGGATGGGAGTGGGGGGTGGCTTTGGTTTACCGAGCCTCCATCTCCCTCACAGGACTTCCAGTCCCTTCGAGACCAGGGCTGGAGTGCCTCTACTTGGTGTTGGGCAATCGAGACAGATTGGGGATTCTGTACTGTGCACCCTTCTGCCCAACAGTCTCCCTGCCTGAGTTGACGGAGATCGTCTTGGACCTGGTGTTGAGGACCCCCAGGATGTTGGTCCTGGGGGACTTCAATCTCCATGCCGAGACTGGTCTGACTGGGGCGGCTCAGGACTTCATGGCCTCCATGATGGCCATGGGGCTGTCTCAACATGTCACAGGCCCAACCCATGGATGTGGACACACTCTGGACCTGGTTTTCTCAACGGGGCAGGAAGAGGGTGGTCTGAGGGTGAGGAATTTATGTCTGACACCCCTGTCATGGTCAGATCACTTCCTCGTGAGGTTTGTGCTCAAGAGTGGCCTCTCCCTCTGTAAGGGTGTGGACCCGATTATGTGGGTCCACCCCCGGAGCCGGATGGATCCGGACGGATTCCTGAAGGCCCTGGGGGAGTTTCCGGCTGACAAGACTGGTGCTCCTGTTGAGGCTCTGGTCAAACTATGGAATGGGGAGATGACTAGGGCTGTTGACACGATCGCTCCTAAGCGTCCTCTCCCGCCAGGCAGAGCCCACTCTTCCCCTTGGTATACATCTGAATTGAGGGCGATGAAGCAGGCTGGGAGACAGCTAGAGCGTAGGTGGAGGAGATCACGGGATTAATCTGACCGAACACACTTAAGAGCCCATTATCGGGCCTATGCTGTGGCGGTGAGGGCAGCGAATAAGAAATTCTTCTCAGTTTCCATTGCCTCCTCAAAATGCCATCCAGCGGAGCTTTTTGGGGTGGTACAAGGGCTGGTCCACCCTGGCCCTAAGAAAGATCTGGTTCCACCCTCGAAGGCCAGCTGTGACGACTTTGCCAAGCATTTCAGGGAGAAAATCGCTCAGTTTTGTCACGAGCTAGACTCTACTAGTGACTCAGAGACTTCTGGGGAGATACCAATGTCGCCGTCTGGTTCAAAATTAATGGATGAATTTCAGTTATTGCGGCCTGATGATGTGGACAAGGTGCTTGGACGAGTACGTCCCACCACTTGCCTATTGGACCCTTGCCTATCTTGGTTAATAAATAACGCCAGGCACGGGACTGGGATCTGGATCTTGGAAGTGGTTAACGCTTCTCTGAGGGAGGGTCGGGTACCTGCCCCTTTAAAGGAGGCGGTAGTCCGACAGGTCCTGAAGAAGGCGTCACCGGATCCAGAGATGGCTGCCAATTATAGACCAGTGGCCAACATTCCGTTTCTGGGCAAGGTGTTGGAGCGGGTGGTGGCGGGACAACTCCAAGCACTCTTGGATGAAACTGATTATCTGGACCCATTTCAGTACGGCTTCAGACCCGGGTATGGTACTGAATCTGCCTTGGTCGCCCTGTATGATGACCTGTGCAGGGAGAGGGATGGGGGAGTGCATCCCTGTTGGTTCTTCTGGACCTCTCAGTGGCTTTCGATACCATCGACCATGGTATCCTTCTGGATAGGCTAGCAGAATTGGGGGTCAGAGGCACTGCTTTGCAGTGGTTCCGCTCCTATCTCAATGGCCTATTCCAGAAGGTGGTGCTGGGGGACTATGGCTCTGCACCATGGCAGCTATGCCATGGAGTACCACAGGGATCCATTTTGTCCCCTTTGCTGTTTAACATCTACATGAAACCGCTGGGAGAGGTCATCAGGAGGTGTGGACTGCGGAATCATCAGTACACTGATGATACGCAGCTCTACCTCTCGTTCTCCACCAATCCAGGTGAGGCAGTGGCTGTGCTGAACCGGTGCCTCGCCGAGGTAATGGGCTGGATGAGGGCCAATAAACTGAAGCTCAATCCAGAGAAGACGGAGGTCCTGTTGGTTCGCGGATCGGGCTTCGGGGAGGATGAATTGAACCTAGTCCTGAATGGGGTTGCACTCCCTCTTAGGGACAAGGTCCGCAGTTTGGGAGTGCTCCTTGACCCAGAGCTTTCACTGGAAGCTCAGGTGACAGTGGTGGCGAGGAGCGCTTTCTTTCAGCTTCAGCTGATCCATCAGCTGCGCCCCTACCTGGAGAACGACTGCCTGACAACAGTGACACACCCATTGGTGACTTCCCGACTTGACTTCTGTAACGCGCTCTACTTGGGGCTGCCCTTGAAGACGGTCCGGATACTTCAATTGGTTCAAAACAGAGCTGCCAGGCTGCTGATGGGGACTGGGCGTTATGTTCAATGACTCCAGTCCTCCATCAGCTTCACTGGCTTCCCATTGAAGTCCGGGCCCAATTCAAGGTGTTGGTGATGACCTATAAAGCCCTTAACGGCTTGGGTCCTGATTACCTGAAGGAGCGCTTACGTCCATATATGCCCGCCTGCCCCCTGAGATCTGCGGGAGAGGCCCTCCTCCGGGAACCCTCCGTGAAGGAAATTAGGAGGGTAAGTACTCGGAGGAGGGCTTTCTCTGCGGTGGTGCCCAATCTATGGAATGCACTCCCCAGAGAGGTCCGCCTGGCGCCGTCATTATTTGTTTTTCGGCGCCAGGTGAAGACCTTTTCATTCAAATGTTATTTTAATTGTTATTATTTATTCATTTTATTCTTTGGCCAGGGCGACTTAATTTATATTGTTAATTTATTTTGTTTTATTGAATTCTATTTATTTATGGTTGTGAGTCGCCCCGAGGCTTCAGCGAATGGGGCGGCATAGAAGCCCCCTAAATAAATAAATAAATAAATAAATAACCCATTAAAACACACTTTTCCTCAAAGTCTTATACTTGGGAGAGCACTGATCTACCCCACATAGTATTACACTTGTTGGGATGTAGTCATGTTGCAGTTATACTTCTTTTTGATTGTTTAATGAAAAATCAGATATGAGAAGACTGCTCTACTTTCAAAGAATTTTGTTACACTGTAGTTTTAAAAATTTACATTTTATACTGTATTTTATGTTTTTGCTCTTTTGAATTGTGAACTAGCCAGAAAGCTTTGGCCAATAATTCATATAAAATGTAATAAATAAAAATGTGAGTGACATATTGCTTTATTGCTTTCAGTCATCAGTGTAAGGTGAAGTCGTGAAGGTTCTGAGCTAGGGTCTTGCCACAGTAATGAATGAGGGCCAATAAACAGAAATTGAATCCTGACAAGATGGAGGCTCTGTGAGTAGCCGTTTTCATGTCTGAAAATCAGGGGTGCAAACTTGTGC